CACACACATACACACACACACCACACGCCCCATCTACCACACACACACACACATTCCATGGGTGAAAATTTGTTTTCGCAGCTCGCGAGGAGTGGCGGACCCAGCTGTGACGGCGAGGGCGACCCTGGAGGTCCCCCGAAGGCACCCAAGCCCAAAACAATCTCAGTCCTGGACCCTCGTCCCTTAAGATGAGGGCAGGCCAGGGACAACAACAGACAGGGACGCATCAGGGGTCTCTGAGATCTGGCGGTTCTGGAGGATGTGTCCAACGCCGCGGCCTGCTCAGAGAGCGTTCTAGAACGTTCCAGAACAATGTATCTTTGTCCTAGCCCAACCCGATCCAGCCGTCAGGACCTGAAGGCTCCTCCCTTGTCCCTGAGGAGGCAGTTTCTTAAGGAAGTCTTCGTTAGTCGTAAGCGCGAGTAAAGGCTATTGGGCCCAATTGCTAGGCAACTTAGCCGGATTAGCCTGGGGAGAAAACGACTAGACCACATTAAACGGGATACCGCGGAATTGAACGGGATTATGCCAGATCAGGCCTAGCTTTGACCACAGATATACCAGCGCCGACGTTGAAATTCACCTGCTGGGAGTTGCATCTTAACCTCCCGCGTCACCCGATCACTGGCCGCCTGCTAGAAAAAAAAACTGGCCCGGGCAACGGATTCCCCAAGGACTGACGGAAACACACAAAGCGAACACACACACACACACGGTTTGAAACAAATGCGGCCCCGAAAAAGGAAAATCCAGGATTAGAGCCCACCTGTGCCTGACCCCCAGAAGGCTGATCCCCAGCAGCAGGCGAAGGACTCGGGCTGATCGCTGCTGCAGCCCACCACAGCAGCCGCAGGTCGCGCACCAGGTCCTGGTGCATGGCGCCCAGCAGCGGCCTGGCCAGAAGGCTACCCCCAACGCGAGCGGCGGGCTGCGGGGCGGCCCTCCCGGGAGATGGAAGCGGAGGGACCGGGAGGGGTCTCCTCCTCGCAGGTCCTCCCTCTCCTGCTGCTCCTCCTGCTCCTCTTGCTCCTCCTTCCCCTCCTCCTCCAGCTCCTCCTGTTCCTACTTTCCATCCTTGGGTGGGCAACGCACGGCCTTCCGCGGAGATGCGAGGCCGCTATTTCCAGATGCAGTGCTTCCATATTGTGGTGGGCCGAGCATGGCGAGTCCGTGCATGTGAAGCTCGCTTATTTCCAACGTGGGGTGGGCAACACACGGCGTCACCTTGTCAAATGACGGCCCGCTATGACCATCAGCGGGTGTATCCAGATGTGGGTGGGCCTCACGTGACGCGGAGTGGCGGTCCGCGTCAATCTACCTAATCTCCAACCACGGATGGGCAGCACATGGGGAGTGGCCGTCTGATGTGAGCCTATCCCGTTCTTTCCAGCACAGTGCGTGATCGATGTCTGATCCTCGTCGCCGGGGTAGTCAAGCCGTTGGTCTTCTCAATGTGTTGTTTTTCTTGCGTGGCTGGCTGATGTGAGTGACGGAGCCAGCCCACACATGTGCACCGATGGGGGGGCGCATCCTTCTACCTCGTTTTTCTCGTCATGTAGCACCGCCTGTTCATTGTCTGCCCCGTTGTGCTCTGCGAATGCAGCGGCTGGCTGTGCTCGCTCCAGTGCTCTCACCCTCCATTTTCCGATTGTGCACGACACGACTGGGATCCTGTTTGACATGCCAAGTCTGCTATCATACGCATCCGCGGATAAAGACACATCTGGCGCACCCCTGGAGACTCCGGAACTTCCGAATCTGCTTTCCGCGGCCTCAAAAACGTTCCAACGCGGCCCCGGATCGCCGGACGATTGAAGGCCTACGATGGCTCCATGATGCTCTAAGACGCCGTCGAAACGTCCAAAAGCCTTCTCAAAAGGGCCCCGAGAAGACACACACAATTGTTGTCCTCTGGTTTCTCAATGTTCCAAGGTTTTCGTCTTCTCGGACTTCCGACGCTCCAGAGCGGCCCTGGAGGCCCCGTAGACCCGATATGTTCCCCGCCCCCGTGCTGGAAGTGCGCCGTCAACTGTGCGTTGCAGGCAGATGCTTCTGCCAGGGCTAGGGCTGCTCGAACCCAGGCAGCGCAAACAAAACAAATCAACCCAGTGAAGCCAGCAGATGTGCAGGTACCTATCACCGTCCCATCCTCTCCAATCCACACTTCCAGAAGAATCCGATTTGGCTGGTGCGCACGTGGTGCGCGTGCCGGGGTCAGACGAGAAAAGGGGTTCCGACAGCGTATCATACATGAAAGCCACAGTGCACTGGGCATGGTATCACGATTCCCGTTTCTCTCCCCGCAGGCTTTGCGGAGACCAGCTCGCCTTCGCCGCGCCCAGGTGCAGTCTTGCATGCCACCTGCAGGGCGCGGCAGCGGACCCCGATCGCGCGGCGGAGCTGCGCCAGAAGGACCAGCGGCAACATGCGCAGCAAGTGCGTGCAGGCCTGGGCAGATGATGGTGAACGACTTTTCCCGCTCGTCCAGACATTTTCCCCGGCGGCCTCCGTCCCTCTTCCACGCAAGTGTTCTCTCACTTCCTTGACCACGACGCCAAGGGTCCTCCAATAATGTAATTGCGAGCTTTCGCTAGAAGCCGCGTCTAAGTATCGCGCCCTTTTTGGCGAGCCCTCGGCCCGATCACCCAACAAAAACATGTTCTTCGGTAGGTAGTGAAGCGCAGGCCGCAATGCTACGCGCAGCACGCAGGTATCTTTGTCCCTGTGAGGATTGACGCATCGGGGATATTAGTGTTTTTTTTTTTTCCCCCACGTCGCCGGCGACATGTGACATGAAGTGAAGAAGTGAAATGTCCTGGCTCCGAAGCGGCCCCGCGGGGGGGCAGCGCGCCGAAAAAACAGCGCCGGCGTCGCCCTTCGATGAAACGCTCGAGAAGCTCAGCGCGCGCCGCCCACTCATTGCGATTACCGGCTGCGTTGGCCCACTGCCGCAACCCCGCCTGCGTCGCATGGCGTCGTAACGTGTCCTCCCATTTCATCCAGCGCCGTCTGGATGGCCGCTTTTCCAGGGTGCTCTCGTCGCGCATGGCCTCCGCCCTAGCGCTCTCTCCAGAAGGTTGTGCGCCGCGCCCGCGACGTCGCCGGCGTCGTGGCCGCTTGACCTGCCAGCGCGCTTGGCCAGCAGCCTGCGTGTGCGCGTCGTGCGAAAAATCCACTCGCGCCACGGCTCGTCCAGTGCCCTCGGGAAGGCGCATATGCGCCGCGCTATTCTGATCTGCGTGGACTCGATTGTGCTGTATTCCGCTGCTCTCGGCGCTCAAGAACGCGCCCCGTAGAGCATGCAAGCCCCGACAAACGAATCGAACAGCTTCAACCGCTTGAAGACAAAACGCTCTGGTTCAACGAAAAAGGACTTCATCGCCCAGAATTTCCTCCAGGCGATGCCTGTCCTGTGCTCGGTTCCCACTCCAGTGACGTCAGACAACGATACCGCGGCCCCCGAGACTTCCAGGTTGCCCCCTTCTGGCAGCACGTTGACAGAAACACCTTCTTGTAGAACGACGTCTTCCCGCGCGACTCCGGCACTCCGGCTCGTCTGCGCGTTGCACTTCGTTGGGTGTAGTTTTAGCCCCGCTTCGCCAGAGTTTCCCGGAGCATGAAAACCATGTGCTCCAAAGAGAGCCTCGGCGTAGTGGTGGTGATCGTCGCTGCGTCCCCGCAGTCGGCGCTGCTGGCCGCCCCCAGCGCCGGCGCCAGCGCGGGTTTGGACCCCCCCCCTGGGCTGCCTCTGGTCATCGTCGCTGCGTCCCCGCCGTCGGCGCCGCTGCTGGCGGCGCGGCCGCGCCGAGGGGGGGGGTTGAACCCCCCCCTTGGGAGGGGGAGGTTCGGGAAGGGGGGTTAGGGGCGAGGGGAGCCCCCCCTGGTTCTGATCGACGGCGCCGAGTGTTGAGAGGGGTTGGGGGGGGACCCCCCGGTTCGAAACGCGCCGCCGAATGCTCCCTAGGCTTAAGCGCCCGTGAAACTCGCTCCCTCCGAGGTCCCGACCCTTTCCCCATGATCGGCTTTGTATCCCGAGTCGTTTTTAGACGCTCCCGAGGCCCGGTGAGGGCCCCCAACGGCGGAAAACTTGGAAAAACCTTCCGCCACGATTTTTTCATTACCCGAGGGGGTCTGGGGAGGGACGTGCCCGACTGAACCCTCGGTGCGACCCGCGCGGCGACCCGCTGCGCGCGCGGGGCAGGCATGAGCGCTCCGCGAGAGAGGCGACCGGGGCCTCGCCGGCGAGTGCCCGCGCGGGCGGCGCAAGGGGCGGGGGCGGCGGCGCGGCGCGCCGCCCGCGCTCCCCGCGCGGCGGGGAGCTCGGGCCAGGCGCAGCGTGCGGAGGCCACGCGTCGGGTGTGGGTGGCCAGAAGTGCCCCCTGGCCCAGGCTGCCCCCAGGATTTCCAGGGAGGCCCCCACGGCCTCCAGGGCACCCCTCGCGAGGCCCTGTGGGCCCCAGGGGGCTCCAAAATGAAGCGAAAAGCTGGGGGCACCTGGGGCCACGGGTACCTTTAGCAACCCCCGAACGCGGGGCTTCGTCGCTGTCACCGTTGCCACCGGCGTCGTCGTCTCTCGCCGGCATCGTCCCCGGCATCACTACCGTCGCCACCACCACCATAGCGACCGCCATCACTGTCATCACCAGCACCACCACACCACCATCATCATCATCATCACCACCAACACCACCGCCCTTCTTCTCCTCCTCCTCGTCGTCGTCGTCTTCGTCGTCGTCTTCGTCGTCGTCGTCGTCGTCATTGTCATAGTCATCGTCATCGCCACCATCGTCACGGGGTTCGTGGTTGCAGCGTCTACCCAATCCTCCGCGGCATCATTCCCGTCACCACCGTCAGCGTCACGTCAGACAGTGCTGGGGTGCTCCGTCGCGCGCCTGGGGAAGCCTCCAGCGAATCATCATCCAGCAGATAACTTTGCCAGGACTGCCAAGTTCCTTACACGCCCGACGGGGCTGCGAACGGGTGCATCCAGCGCCGTGCGCGCGCGCACGGGGCTCCTTCTCGCAAGTGGCGCACCTCTGGTAGACCTCCTGCCGCGCGTCTAGGGAGGAGGGGTTGGCAGACGAGCAAGACATGACTGGCGAAACATGCCGATCTAGTATAACCGCGGCGCGCTCCTCCTGGTCGGCCCCAGCTGCGTCTGCTTGCCAACCAACTGGTAGCTCTCCAAGCGCCGTCCCCTCTGCGTGCGCCAGTGCTGCCGCCAGTTTGTACTCCACTCCTCATGAGTGTCTTCATCCGCCTCCTCACCCTCCGTCCCAGAGAAGGAGGGGGCAGGGACAGGGAGGAGCCCTCCCTCCACCTCCCCTGCACTCTAAGACGAAGCCAGGACGAGGATAAAGTCGGGTGAGGATGCATCGAAAATCTCTGAGGTCCGGCGGCTCTGGAGGATGTCTCGGGCGCCGCGGCCTTCTCAGAGTTCTGGAACGCTCTGAGAGCGTTCTGGGACGCTCTGGAACGGATTTATCATCGTTCTAGCCCAGTCCGACACTCTTCCATCTCCCCCCTTCCCTCCCTCCACCCTCCGTCGCCCCTCTCGGACACGGGCGGTCTCGGGGATCTACTGGCCCGGTTCAATCCAAACTCGGGCCAGTCAGGCTGTGCAAGATCCTGCAAGATCCTGCAAGATCCTGCAGGATCATACACGCCAGCCCGGCTCAATACACGCCTGGCTCTTCAGGATCCTGCAAGATCTGGCTGGCGCTTTGGCTGACCCCCGTTTGCATTGACCCCCGTCTCGTGAGCCCCGATGCAGGGTCCTGAATGAAAGCCCAACTCAGTGCACCCCTGGCCCTGCAGAATCCTGCAAGATCAGGCGCTCTGGCTAACCCGCTGTTTGCCTCCTCCTCCTCCTCCTCCTCCTCCTCCTCCTCCTCCTCTTGAACCCCGTCCCTTGAGCCCCGATGCAAGATCCATTGCTTGCTGGCCCGGGGCCCGACGGTGGCCGCCGCTGGCAGAAAGCAGAGAAAACAAAACGCCTGGCTTGCTTCTTCGTTTTTGCACCAATCCAAACCAGATCGTTGTCCTCCTCCTCCTCTCCCCTCCTCCCTCCCCCTCCCCTTCCTCCTCCTCCCCCTCCTCCTCCTCCTCTCCTCCTCCTCCCTCCTCCCTCCTCCCTCCTCCCTCCTCCTCCTCCCTCCCTTCCTCCCTCCTCCCACCTCCTTCCTCCTCCTCCTCCCGCTCCTCCTGCTCCTCCCCCCCCCTCCTCCTCCTCCTCATCCTCCTCCTTACCCTCCTCCTCCTCCTCCTTCTCCTCCTCCTCCTCCTGGTGCATACCGTTGCTTGTGTTGTTTGTGTTGTTTTGGTCGGCTTCTTGCTCTCACAATGGTCGAGGCAGGGGGCGGCGCTGGCGTCCTCCTCCAGGGTCCGCCGCCACTGCCAGAAGCGGTCCTCCGCGGCCAGCGCCAACGGGGGCGCTCCGAACATGTGTGTGTGTGTTTGCGCGTGTGTGTGTGCTGTTGCGTGTGTGTGTGTGTATGTGTGTGTGTGTGCGTGTGTGTTGGTGGTCTCCAAACCAGGTGGTGAGACACCCGGTGGTGACCCCGATTCCCCCAAAAAATAATTCTGGGTCACCACCGGGTTTGGGGACACGCGGTCGCCACGAGGTTTTGCATTTCCTGGGCCAGCCAGCGCTCGAAAACCCATTACCCAAATCGCCCAAAACTCACCACCGGGTGTTCTCACCACCACGTTTGGGGACCACCAAGTGTGGGGAGGTGCGCTGCACGCCGCCGTCCGGCAGGTGAAGCAACTCGCCATCGCTCGGACAGATTTCATTTCGGCTTCGTGCGTCCGTCTTCAGAAGACAAGAGACACCACCCCGCCTACGGGCCCCACGCTGCTTAACCTATACGAAGAATTCTGGCGTGGGTGTTTGCGTGGTATACGCTACGCCCCCCGATGGGGCGTAGCGTATACCATTGGAGAGGACGCACGAGAAGACACAAGACTCTTCCGACGATAACGCGGCTCCAGACCACCTATGGAAATGCGGGTTGCGTAGGTCGGGACAGACAAGACACAAACATATCCTCGATTCGGCATGGTCGACCTACTAATCAAACTCGACTGTAATACTCGCCAGCGCTCGGACGTCCATCACCCGTGCATGTTTCGGCTTCGTGCGTCTAACTTCTCCCAAGACGATCAAAGATGCTTCTGGTCCTCGCCGAAGAAACACACACACACACGTCCTACCGATACCGAGGGTAAATACGGTAGTGGTCAAACGCCATTGCAGGAGAGCCCAAAATCGAATCGACAAGCTGGATCGCCGATCAAAATGAATCGGATCGGCGGAAACCGGCAGCGGAGCCGGGCACAGTCGAATCGGCGGACATCGGCAGGCTGGAGAGGCCTCCGTTGAGAAACCGGACTCCCAATCTCAATCTGGTGTCGAACCGAATCAGAAGTGGGATCAGTCGAGATCGGATCGAATCGAGTCGGACGAGTCGAAACGAGCCCTGCAGAGTGGGCGTCGCCAGCCCACGCCCGCCTCGGAGGCCGCGGCGCTGTCGCCCGCCTCGCGAGGCGGGCACCTCCGAGCCTGTCGTCGCGAGGAGGTCCTCGCGCCCCGAGGGGTCTCAGCGAGGAGAGGCCGGCCTCGCCTCGAGGCCAGGAGCAGGCAGGGGGGAGGACCGGGGGGGGGAGGAGGAGGAGGTCGACGAAGGGCAGGCAGGTCTATCTTAGAGAGCAGGAAATCCCCCCCCCATGGTAGGCAGCCCGACAAGCGAAGCCGCTCAGTAAACGCGCCCGAAGCAGGACTTTGAACATGGTCAGTAAATGCCCAGGGCCGTTGAGTAAACGCAGCATATCGGGGTCGGGTTGGTTGTTCGTCCACTTGGTATCTTTCTAGCGAGCATCAGAGATACATCTTGTGGAGTTGTGTATCCGCGTATTGTCCTATTGTTGATAGTTCCTGCCAGGGCGTGCGTCTAAGCTAGAGCGACACACGGGCGTGGCAGGCCTGAGCCTGGCAGCTGGTTCGGCGAACGAGTTAACTAACTCGATCAACAATAGGTAACGATGCAGACGACAGGCAGCGCGAGCAGGCGCGGGTACAGCGATGCAGCCAGGGGCAGGGAGGGAGGGCGAGGGTGAGAGGGATAAGATAGTCGGGGAGAATGATCGAGGAAGATCCAGGCTTTTGTGTCTATGTTGCCTTTTCTTTTGGAATCCCGTGGGGGAGGGGCTCCAGACGCCTCCAGAGAAACTCGGATTTGAGATTCTGATGCTTCTCATCCTGTCGGGCGTCCTGTGACACCCCCGTCGCCATGCCTGGATCCACCTTGCATTCCTGGTCAGCCTTCGCTGTAAGAGCAAGCGAGAAGAGAAGGGGGACGAGGATGTTTCCCCGTGCAAGCCAATTTCCTCTGCCACATAATCTGCCACATAAACGGCGGAACTCGGGCTCAAGGTTGCTTGGCATCGGGCTGGGTGGAGGTCTCTATCGTGCGTACTGGTCTGGTAACCGGCACCAGCTCCCGTCAGCAATGCGAGGGGTGTATTTCGAGAGCCAGGTTTCATCAATCAATGCTGAAACCTTGGCGCTCGATGACGCCACCCAATGTGTGTCCAACACGCTTCTAAAAACTTCTGCTCAACATGGGTCTCCAAAAACCAAACTTCGGACAAACAACTGGCCGATTATTTTCCGCGACGCCTGGCGGTTTCCGTAACCATTTCGATCGTCCCGAGATAAAGAACACCCTGGAGCGATTATCCTGCCCCCGCCCGATGACGCCTCGCCTTCCGTGGCGGTGAATGCGTATCAGTCCTGTCGGGGGCGCGCTGGGCCGTGTGTCCGCCAAGGCCACGCCGCGCGCCCCCGCTGGCCGCGTACGGTAGCTCCCACAAGCCCCGGGCCAGCGGAGGGAAGAGAGGCTTCCGAGTCCTCCGCGGGGCGCCCACATCCTAGGCCAGTCAGCCGGAGGGGATCGGCTGACCCCGCCCGGCGTGTGACGACAGAGCAAATCAAGACGCAAATGTCGTGTGTGCCTCTGCCGGCCCTGAGAGAGTTGGGACCTCTCACCAAGGCTCACGGCCGCTGTCACGGCTGAGCCGATATGCCGTACGCTGAACAACAGAGAAACGTTTGCTTGTGTGCTTACTTGCTTGCTTGTTTGCTTACTCGGGGGGGTCCCACATGGCGTCCGAGTAGATGGGGTCGTGGATGAGATCGGATTTCACATCGAGCCGCATCGCCGATCGATGCGGCGCGATCCTCCGACCCCAAAGATCTCGGCCCATTCCCCAGGACCGGTCTCTCATCCCGAGTCGTCGTTCTTTGACGGTCTCGAGGCCGGGTGAGGGCCCACGGAGGCCGAAATGAACGAAACACCTTCCGCCATGATTTTCCCATGACCCGAGGGGGTCTGGGACCTCTGGCCTCGGGCCTTCTTCGCCAGCGGACTGTCGGCTGCACGCACGGGTGACCCTGGGTAAGAGTGACCTTTGCAGCGCGGTTCTTGGGGGGCCGCGGGGGGCCAAAGTGGGACCAAACGCAAGCGCGCAAGACGCTACTATCGCATCGCGCCCGGCGATCGGGGGACCCCAATGTGCCCGCACCGGAGGTCACTCCGGCGAAGGGTCACTTTTACATGTAGGTCGGAAGAAGTAGGTAAACACATGAAGTAGAGAGGCGGACAAAGTAGATCGGGATCGGGCCCTCCCAGAGAATAGCAACACTCAGCCTTCAGCGAAAGCACATTGACAGCGCTTGAAGTAGATTGGGATCAGGGAATCCACAGATACCTACAGTGGAGGCCAGTCCACAAGACACCTTCCACAAGAAGCCCAACCCTGAGACCCCAGGACGTCCATTGTTCTTTGGTGTGGGAACGTCACGCGTTCCATAGCAAAGCCATCGACACCCAAGAAACCCAGGGCACCCTGGAGGCGAGCAGGGTGTTTCTTGGCATGGGTCTCCACTGTACCTTCGACGACTCGTCTAATCCAGGCCAGGCCGCGGCGCGCTCCGGGAGAGCCCCCGGGCAGGGGCCTCTATCTGCTCCTCGTGCCGCGCCTGCTGCCGCCGCTCTTCGGTCAGGGCCTCGCGCGCGCGACTTCGCGCCGCGCCGCGCCTCGCCGAGGTCTCGGCCTCGGCCTGGCTCAAGATTGAGGACTTTCGCAACATCAGACAGCACGCATAGGGGCAAAACGGGAGATGGGGAGCTCCGATCAGTCCTCCGGGTCAACGCTTGACCGAGGCTCGATGTCAACTGTGACGTCATCGAGCTTGGGGTGCAGACCGCGGGCCACGCGCCTCTGAGAGTGCAGCCTGCCCTGGGCCCCCGTTCGGGTTGAGGATCGCGGGAGGATCGACGGAGGATCGAGGAAAGATCGAATGAGGCGCAACGTGGAATAGGGATCCGTAGATCTGGCGCCAGATCCACAGATCGGGGAAAACACCTCCCGAAATAGGAAGCCACTGCCGCCCCAGTTGGCGACGGAGCATGCCGATTTTGCACGGAAGTGGGAGCCGCCGCTACCCCACGCGCCTGGTGAGAAGATGTGAGGATCGAGGGAGGATCGAAAACTCAGTGGCTATGCCATCTGGAACGTTATTGGCCTCTGGAGGCTCCTGGGGACTTCTGGAGACCTCCGTGTCAAAGGGTGGTGGAGCACCTGGGGTCGACGGTTTGGACTTTGGACGTGTCTGTGCCTTCAGGGAGTCTCCAGCAATTTCGCCTCGTCGCGAGAAGCGGAAGATCACGGCGGAAGGTTTTCGGACGTTCTCCTCTGCTTTTCGGGGCTTGGTGTCGCCTCTCAGGGTGCCTTCCAGCAACTTCGCTTTGTCGTGAAGAGGCGCCATCGCCGCCGCGGCAGGGTCCGCCTCGAACCTCTGGCCAAAGCGCACCCCAGGACAACCGATGGCGAGGATGTTTGTTGGGGGGAACCTGCGACGACAACATCGGGGCGGCCGCTTTTTGCTCGGCGCTCGGGGCCGTGGACAACACCGCAGCCACCAAACAACGGCCCAGGGTGAAACGCCAGCCCCGAGGATTGCAAAAACAGACAAAAACACCATAAACATGAAATTGTGGCGCCCCACGCGGATTGTTTGGATCCGCGGTGGACCTCTGTCCCTGGCGCGCGGATTTCTTGGATCCGCGCGGAGCGCCAACAAATTATGTTCATGGCGCTTGGTTTCTTCATCGAAGAACGCCCCACGCGCCGCGGGCCCATCGGCGGGACCCCCCGCAGTGCTGGGCCTGTTCGGCCCATTGCCACGGCACGCCGCGAAACAGTCGCAGCGCCGGTGGCCTAGGCACCCGCGGCTGCCCAGACCCCCCCCCCTCTGCTAGCATCGGCGGCGGACGGGGGGAGGCCATGAGAAAACAACTTATCAGAAAGCGGCGGGGTTCCTCAGACCCCCTCGCGCCTTCTGAGGAGTATTCTGCGTTTTCGGGGAAGGCCGAGAAACTTCTCAGAAAGCAGGAGGGCTTAGCCTTCTGAGAAGGCCCGGCCCTTTTCAGTTCCCCCCGGGCCCGCCGCCGATAACAGACCGCGTTGCCTGCGAAAACTATCGGATCGGTCGAACTTGGCCCGGCCAGCGGGGTCCGCCGCGCCGAGCGCGGGGCGGGAGGAAAACGAGGAGGAGGAGGAGGAGGAGGAGGAGGACGAGGAGAAAGAGGAGGAGGAGGAGGAGAAGGAGGAGGAGGAGGAGGAGGAAGTCCCTGCTCGCCTCGCTGCTACCGCGCCAAAGTGCTCGCCCTGGCTCCCCGTCGGCAAATCAGCCTGAGCCTTCCCTCGGCGAATTGGCGGGAGCGGACGGCGCCCTGATCCCCCGCAGAACGTAGCTTATGAAACGCGTTTGAATCATATCGCATGCGCAATTGCTATACTGCGCAGCTCAGATTTCCAGAGAAACTGGGAACAGAGAGGGAGACCAGCTAGCTGCGAGCGAGTTTCGGTTGAGTGCGCCCTCGATCTGAATATCCTGATTCGGCCTCCATCGCGGCTGGCTGGAGCTGTCGCGGCCTCTCGACCGCTTCGGGAAGAGGGGCCGTCGAACTAGATCCAGAAGAAGGCTGCTCCTTGGGCGCCGCGGCTTCCTTCGGGGCGCTTTCTCGGGGCAGCCCCGGCACAAGACCCGATCCAAGAACGAACGTGGGTACGAGGAAGAAGCCCCATCGCTCGCCCACAAAACACCAGGAGCCGAATGGCTCACAGCATGCAATCTTCTTGGCCCTCGGCAGCTGAGTTTCCAGCCCCGCCGCCGACGCGGGCTCCAACCTTGAAGGTCAAATTCTCCCTGCTCGCACGGCTGCTACCGCGCCGAAATCCTTGCCCCGGCATCCCGTCAGTAGATCAGCCTGGGCCTTCCTTCGGAGAGCTGGCGGACACGGGTGGCGCTTTGATCCCCTGATGAGCGTAGCTTGTTGAACGTGTTTAATCAAATATCATTGGCAATTGCTACACTGGACAGCTCACCCGTTCCAAGAGACTGGGAACAGAGAAGGAGACCTGCAAACACCTCCACCCCCCACCAGGCGGGGAGACAAGGCAGGTGGGAACGCATCACTTCTAGAAGAACAAGGCATTGAAAATAATGGTGCAACTGATCATCCCCCATCCACTGACATCCATGCTGGCACCCCAGGGCAGGCTGGGGATATATCCGAGAGGTGTTCCAAGCATTGCGGACACTGCGTAACAAACTCAAATGGATGAACGGGCCAACGTTCTGACCGACAAACTTCAAACGCTCGAAGCATAACGGGCCCCAGGACGGCGACATATCTCGGAGCTCCTCCGGCAAACGTTCTTTTGCCAGCCTTGGATCCGATCGAACAGCAGGTCCTGGAAACTCTTCAAAGGACACTGGTTCAGCACGATGTTGGTCATGAGTCATGGTTCTCTGCAGACCAGGTTCAAACATATTGGGAGCTTGAGGGATCCTTGACAGCTCTAGATAACTCTGGTGCGTCGTGATAACAAATGACTTGCGAAGCACAGGGTGAACATTTGTGTCGATGTGAGCCTCCCCATCGTCACTAGCGTCCTCAAGCTTCTCAATTCAGGCAAAAAGACGGATGATGCGAGCACGGCACGGTACGCTGCCGCTCTGGCTGCATGCTTCAAAGAGGAGGAGGAGGAGGGAGAGGAGAAGGAGGAAGAGGAGGAGTTGGACTTGGATGGGGGGGGAGCCACCGCCCCTGGGGGTCTGCGCGCGAGACCGAGGCGATCGCCCGTTCCTGCTCGCGGGCGTTGGCACACATCGCAACGTGGCGGGCCCGCCTCCTGCCCCCCCCGGTGCAGCAGCGAGGAGAGGCAATTCCACCTCCGCCACTGTCCAAGGGGCAGAGGTGAGGGGGGACGTTCGTGGGAGACCAGCTCAGGGGGGGAATGGTAGTACGGGGGGGGGGGTTCGCGAATCGGCTCACGTAACTGGCTTTCCAGGCGCCCCACGGGGGAAAGTTGAAGGAGAAGGAGAGCGGGCAAGGGGGGGAAGTGAGGGGAAGAAGGCCTTCTCAAAAGGCGGCGGGGCCTCTCAGAAGCCCTCCGGCCTTCTGAGAAATTTATTGTGTTTTCGGGGAAGGCCGAGAAAACTTCTCGGAAGGCCCGGGGAAGGCCGAGCCTTCTGAGAAGGCCCGCCCTTCTCACTTCCCCCCCGGGCTCGCCGACGAGAGAAGGAACGTTCGCGAGGATCGGCTCAGGGCGGGGGGTGGTAGCACGGAGGGGATATCGCGAATCGGCTCACGTAACTGGGTTTCCAGGCGCCCCCAGGCGGTGGATGCGTCAGTGTATCCAGGGTCGCGTCCGGCGGCGAGCCCAAACCAGCTGCATGCAGCAGATCTCGCTCCCACCCGTCTCCCTGTCCCTCCTTTCTGCCCGACCTGAGTCCAGGGATGGAGGGAGGTCCTTGCAGTGGTCTGGTGCCCGTCATTCTTCGGCGTCCCTCTCGGGCACCGTGCCCCTCCTTGGAGCCTCCCCATGTTCTATCACCACCACAAGGACGACGACGAGGACTACGAGGACGATGGCGAAAACGACGACGACGACGGCGAAAACGACGACGACGACGACAACGACGACGAGGACGACGGCGAAAACGACGACGACGACGACGAGAATTACGACGACTACGAAGAGAATTGCGACGACGACGCAAAGGACGACGACATCCTGCCGCCACTGCTGCTGAGACTGATGCCGCTCCACCGCCGCTGGCCTTCAGGCTGCCGGTGACCTCCTGCAGCCTGCGCTCGAACCTCAGGCGGGGGCGCGCGCAGCGGCACAGGGCTCCGCCGAAGGCACCTGCTCGACCATGGACCCCTCGCTTAACATAAGAACGAGAACAAGGGGAAGGGAGGGCATAGACAGAAGATTCCGGAGCTCCGCGCGGGTCTCCTGAATCTGCGCAGGGTCCCCCTCCCTGGCGCGCGGAGCGCGCCAGGGGCGGCGCCGGAGGCGCCGCCAGGGTGGGCCGCCGCCGATCCACGAAACCAGCGCAGGCCTACGACAGTTTATCTTTCTGCTGCTTTTGGCTACAGTCGAAACGTGTACAAAGCACGGGTGGCAAGGACGCAAGATCCTTTCAGGCCGAAGTTGCGATGTTTTGGGCGGCGGGCGACCAGTGAAAACGGCAAAGGACGGGCCGCAGAGGCAAGGACATAAGGGTAGATGAAGGCGCGCGTCCCTACTAGGCGCGTTGACTGTTTTCGACCATCGGCATTCGGCGATCTTCGGTGGTCTTCGGCGCGAGAACTGAGTGGCTGCGTTTGGCAACGAGTCCAGGGCAAGAGGCGCCCCAACCGAAAACGGGAGGCGGTCAGGAGGGCGGGCTGGGCACTATGGCTGCCCGGGCCCACGCGGTCGCGATCGCCACGGGGCGGCGAACGGCTGCGGCCCTTCCCCCCCCATGTTCCTCTCAGGAGATCTACGCCATGGTAAGGGATGGAAGGGAGGGGTAGGACGTCAGATCTGACGCGACCGCATCTAGCTCCCCCTCTCCCCCTTCCCAATTCCCTTCCTCCCTCCGATTTCCTCTCCTTGCCCCCTCCCTGCTGCCCCTTCTCCCCCTGGACGTTTGTGGATGCTGTTGGCCCTTTGGGCCTCCAGCAGCCTGGAGGCCTCCGCGGAGGCCTCCGCAGGCCTTCTCCGGGGAGCTCTAGAGATCTCTGGACCTGTATTTAATTCCTCCCGCCCTCCTCTTCACCCCCCTTCCACTGTTCATCAAGCGCATGCAGGGCTTACGGATCCGTGGATCTGGCGCGTCGGCGTTCAATCCATGGATCGAGGAAAGCACGACCCGAAACATGAGACCAAAGCCGCCTCCTCTGGCGACGGAACACATGGTTCTGTACGGAATTGGTACGCGCGCTAATCCACGCGAATTAATCCGCGTTTGCGATTCCTCGGCGCTGTTCGCCCGTCTTGAGGGGCAACGTTAGGGGGTGCCAGCTCGGGGGAGGGGAAGGGGAAACATCGACTTGTAATCGGCGATACATCGCCGATGGATCCGCGATCGGCTCTTGATAGCGCTACCGCACGGTCTTTGACGGGGTGATGGGCCATCAGGCCCCTATCGGCGATCAATGGGCGATTGGGATTCGATGCGCCTCACTGAGCCCTCACCCCCGAACTCAGGAGGGAAAACTCGACATACACATGAGCAAACGCTGGAATCCACTTAGATATTGAAACTAATCCAGAAGCCGCATTAAAGTGATCATTTGTTTTTTGGCCCCCCCTCTGTCACAGAGGGGGTCTCAGATGCCCCCCCTCTGTCACAGAGGGGGTCTAAGATGCCCCCCCTCTGTCACGGAGGACCTCGTTCTGGGTGCTCTTCTGCCGCGGGAGCTCCCGATACGATTGAAGACGATAAAATGTGATGGCGGGATGGGGGATTGGAGGGGGAGGGAGAAGAAAACGATGAAGGAGAGGAGGCAACGACAGCACCGATGAAAGCACCGTTTCTTTTTCCTTCTCCGCTCGGGCAGCGGTCGCCGAGCACGACGGCGCGCGCGAGTCGCCGCCGCTCACGATGCATTGGCAAGGCCTCCGCTGCTGCGGAGGGTCGACGTTCGGCCGATGAGGCCTCCCTCCGCTGCTGCGGAGGGGCGGCTCCTGTGCGATGGTTCAGCTAAGTTTTTCCCAGGGATTGGTTTCGGGGGGGTGTTCGACCCACCTCCAATTCGTGGCCTCCCAGTGCCCCTGGCCGCTACTCCACCCACTGCGGCTGCTCCACCAGTCACTGGGGCGTTGGTCGCTGCCGAATGCAACTTGCATGTCGCGCCAGGCGGAGTCGACCATGCGGTCCTGCAGCGAGGAAGCCTCGCCGCTCGGCTGTTGCCACTCGCGCTCCTCGCCCTCCTTGGTGCGCCACCACTCATCCCTGCGCCGCTCCCCGTCTGTTGGTTGCTGCCGTGGCGTCTGTGGCCTCCGCTGCTGCGGGGGCTCTGGCGGCTCGTGGCCGAGGGCAGCGATCGCGTCCGAGATGTAGCTGGCGGCGCCGCGCTGCCCTCGCTGCTCCAGCGGCGCAGGCCCTGGAGATGGGCACTGCGGGGTCGGCTGCCACCTTGGGGGTGATAAGTAATTATTTCTATAATTATCCCCTCCCTGTCAACTCCCGCCCCTTCCCGACACTCATTTCCTTATGTCATCCCTCGTCCTGCTCAGCCTATTCCTCATTCCCTCTCCTCCCTCCTGCCCTCCCCGTGCTCCGCCCCCCCTCTCCCTCCCTCCCCCTTTCAACCCCCCGCCGCGACCTTCCATCGCCAGCCGCGGGCCTGTCGCGGCCGTCGTCCGCGTTTTCGTCTGCCCATCTTGGTGGGCGCCACGCCTGTTGGGCGCGCTCGTCTTGCTCGCCCCTCTCGCTGTGCTGCTCTGGTGCCTGGCGCTCGGGTCCGTGCTGCTCGGGCGGCAGCGGCGCCCTGAGCGCAGCTGCCAGCTGTTTCTGGGCGCGCCTGTCCTTCTTCTCTTTGGCCCCCTCCTGCATCCTCCCCTGCGAACGCGCGCTGGCCACGCGCATTTGGAACAGGAGAGGGTAGTGGGCGCCGCCGTGCCAGCGCCCCTCCACCTCCACGGTCTCTGGCGGGAACGTCTTCTGCAACGCGCGGAAGAGGGTCACCTCGCGATTACTAGAGAAGCGGTGGCCCCCTCTAGCCTCAGCCTCGGCGCGCCTCAGTTTCTCACGCTCCTTCTCTTGGATCTTGCGCTGGCATTCCTCTGACTGAGTCAGTAAATCCTGGAGGTGATCGCGGGCGTCTTTTCTCGGGCAGTAGCAAGAGTAAGGCATCCCAAGGCCTCCGTTCTGGCTGTGGTGCCAGTACGTCGGCTCCGATGATGGGCTGGTGGAGGCCCCCGCTGCTGCGGGGGCCTCTGCCTTGCTTCTGTTACGGTGCCCGTTCTCACCGATCACCGACTTGCGTGCGAAGAGCAACCCCGTCTCGTCTCTGTCGTGCACGGCGCTCAGCGGCCAGCACAGGGTGTACTCGCCAGGCCTGTTGAGAACGAAGATGCCGCAGCTGTCCAAGCACGGAGTGCCGTCCAATCCGCGCCAGAAGTACGCTGCTGCCGTCTCCAATCGCACGCCTAGACCCCGAAGACTCGGCAGCGTCTGTGTGGGCGCCATGTTGAAATCCCCACAAAGGATGTCAACGCTGTTGTCCTGCAAGATGGTCGCCAACCTCCACCACCACGTCTTGTGAGCCTCGTTGAAGCCTTTGGAATTTTTCGCCGCGTCGCGGTGGAGGTGCACCGCGCACGCCCGCACTTTCGAGCCCAAGTGGGCGTAGGTTTGATCGAAGTAGATCTCAACCACCATGATCCTCGAGAACGCTTCCATCTTGCGCCCTCTTGCTGTTTTGTAGTGGCCGTCGACACTCCTTTCCCAGTGGAGCAGCCGCATTTCGTAACGCAGATTTGCGCGCGCAACGATGCACAAGGACTTGTCCTCACGCCCGCGCAGGGTCAAGTATTCGTACTCTGGTCGATTCTGGAGCTGTTGGCAATCGCCAACACTCGCAGCACGACTTCCTCTTGCTGTCGCCATCGCTGCTGCGGGGGCGACAAAAGGCCCACCGCTGCTGCTGCTTTGGCCCTCCGCTGCTGACGCCCCCGCTGCTGCGGGGGCGTCCGCCTGCAGCGGCGGCGGTTTCCCTGGCCGCTGTAGGATTGACTCCATCTGCTCCTCACATTCCGCAAAGCACGCCACGAGAGCAGGGCAATGCCGCAGCTGCAACTCAAGTCTCCGCCGCTGGTCCGCGTGGTTGGTCTCGCTCGGCATGGAGCCCCAGTTCCCGAACAGGACGGAAAGGTTGCCCACGTTGTCGTTCCGTGGCCTGTTCACGTCAGCCGCTCTTCTTTCGCAGAAGATCTCGCGCGGGACGGTGTCGCGAAGAACGCAGTTGCGCCGCTCGACGTCGCCGGGCGGCTTGCAGCCCCTAAATTCCCGAGGCTCTTCGTCATCGCTCGGATCCACCACGGAGTCGCCTGGGCGGGTGCGTATCGTAGAAACTTCTGATCGCGCCGCCGCTGCTGAGCTTGAAACGCCAGGCGGCGCAGCCCCCGCTGCTGCGGGGGCGCCCTCTTGCACAAGGGCCCAAGGACCCTTCCAGGGTTCTGCCTGACCACCCACAGGTCGCCAAACCTTCCCAGATTTCGCTGTGAACACTGCCGACAGTCGGACGGCGTCGCGTCTCACTGTGCACAAACATGCTGAAAGCTCTCGGGTTGCCCCCCAAGTGCTCGTCTATGACGTTCTGCAACCACGCGGCAAACGTCTCCGGCCACTTTCCACCGAAGTCCTCCATGCCAGCGGCGCCCCGCCGAAACCAGTCAAAATCTGACCGCTGAGCTGCAGAAAGCCCAGAACCCGAAATCGCAAGGCGATTCAGCGCGTCGTACCTCGAAGTTCGACCCGCCGCGCCTCCGCAGCTGCGAGGGCCCGCGCCCAGCTCGGATAACCCGACATGCTTCATCCTGTGTTTGATATCTATGGCTGCCTCTGCGTCTAAGAGTTTGGCTTGCTGTGTCCTCAGCAGCTTGCGCGCTTTCTTTACGTCGTCCCCCAGGCGGGTTAGCTCTTCTCTGCGCCGCGCCTCGACATCCCGCTGTCGTTTCTCGTTTCTGAGCGTCGCCTCGCGGGCGTCCTCGCATGCTGCGAGGGCCCGCTGAACCCCAGGATCTTCCTTCGACACTTCACGCACTCGCCTCCGTTCTTTCCGTAATTGCGTCTCCATGAACGTGGCCCCCGCGATGTCGCCCC